TTCCTATTTTCATGTGATTATACAAAAATGAAAACATACCTATGAATATTATATTCCATTTCTGCCAGTAGAGCCTCCTGAATGTTACACACTGGACCTTTAAGATTAGGGAATGGCCATGGTAATGTTTTAGTCACTCAAACTTAAACAAATGTTGTTTCTTTGCATTTGCTCAAATAGCTGCTGCTGTGGACAGTCTCAAGGATCAGACATGAGATGCAAAATAGTTGAATAGTTGTCAGAAGGTCCATGTCTGTGGCAAAACTAAAACAGCTTCCTGCTAATTTCTTAGATTTTTGTTATTGATATAGTTATGTCACATCTTGTCTTTCTCAGGCTTTCTCATGGTGGCCGGAGCTGATGGCTGAACATGCTGAGACATTTCTGTCTCTGTACAGAGCCGACATGGACGCCACACTGCAGGTCCAGCCTGTCGACTCCTGGGACAGCTTCCCACTATTCCAGCTCCTCAACAACTTCCTGCAAAGTGATCGTGAGTCTCACCCATTGACAGTCTCACCTTTTCATTCTTGATGAACACATTTTGTCAGACTCAGCTGTATTCAAACTCAACTCTTCTTTGAGCTGAATGTTAAAACATGTTTAGGGAAGTTTCTTTCTCCTCTGTCTTATTTTCATAACTATGGCCATTCTGACAATGGCTCATTCTAACTTTGCACTCGCCATCTCCGTTGTAGGAAACGCAACTTCAACTAGCGTACTATATTTTACAGCAAACAGTCAAAGCCTCCTGAAAACTTTCCAAATAAACTTCCATTCAATTTGATTATATTCACAGAATCAGAATCAGAAATGCTTTATTGATCCCTGAGGGGAAATTGTTTGTTACATAAAAACTAGAATAACTTGAGATGGCTGTGACTGGGGCTTAAAGCTCAGTAACATGAAGCATTGCAGTGGAGAAGAAGTAAAGAAGTGAATTATTGCTTTTTTGTTGTTGTTTTTGTTCAGTTTAAGTAAAAATCAAGTTAAATTTATACCAGTCCATACTAACCTGAAGTTGAGCAAGGTAGCTGCTCCTGAGTCTCTACTACAAGCAGCAGACTGCCTGGAAAGATCGGACATGCAAGGCAAGGGTCACATTACCATCACAGCCAGCTTGGATAGGCTGCTTGTAACTGTAAAGTTGTATGGTGGGGGAAGGGGGAAATAGTATTTCAAAATAAAAGAGAAAAAAAAATCTCTCATTCATGTAC